CTTGATGACCAGAGCGGCGGCGGAGGGGACGACGGTGACTTTGGCCTGGCGGTTCTGCACAGTGAGCTTGACGGTGACGCGGAGGCCCTTCCAGTCCTTGGCTGTCTCCTTGGCGATGTCCTCGCCGATTTTCTTCGGGGAGAGGCCGAGGGGGCCGATCTTAGGAGCAAGGGAGCTGGCGGCGCCGACCTCGCCGCCGGTCACGCGGACGAAGACGTCGACGACCTGGCTGGGATCGAACTTCGGCGGCATTGTTGACGGCGGTTAGGGTTTGGAGAACGAGAGATTGAAAGTAGAAGGAAAGGAGCAAATGAAGGCAAGTGACGGCCATATATAGGCTTGTCAAAATAGGCCTAGGCCCGCGGGTTTGGGCTGGTGTTTTTGCGGGCCTAAACGGGCTGGTCCGCGCGGGCCTCGGGCCGTGGGCCTACCGACAGTGAAAAAATTTATGTAACACACTAAACGACTCTCTCTGTTCTCGTGTTATTCTCCATCACGATTTCCTTCCTTCAAAATAGACGGCCAAAGTTGGCGTGCGGCGACCTTGGCGCGGCAAGCGACGAGAGTGACTCCAAGAGGCGACGCAACGGTAATGATGGTTCAACCTGAAAATCAATTTTGGTTTATTCAGTATAAATTTCTGATAATTTGATCTTGAGTTTTGAAATTTGAATCATGAAGTCTGAATCCTTTGATTTGAATGGATGCCTTGTATTGAAGAATGGACTTGGACTTGGTTATGTGTATTGTTAATGTTATTTTCTCCTAATTCAATGGTTAATGTGTAATGTATACTGTGCTCCATGTTTTCTCTGTTTTCTGCTCCAGTGCACTACTCCTAGGTTTCTTTTAGTAAGGGCCCGCCGGCCCGCCTAGCCACGGTGTGGTTGGGTCGAGATGCCCTCTCACAGGCCCGTCGAGATGGCAGGTCGGCCGGCCGCCCCACCAAATGGCGGGTTTTGGCGGAGTGCAGGTCAGCCCCGTTTTGACATGTCTACTAATGACAAACAAATAATGTTTGTATGATAGAACGGTTGGTAGGGTTGCAGAAAAAACTCACCGATCGCGAGTAACCCGGAAAATTGGGTCAAGTAGACCTAGAAATATTGGGTCGTAGGTCGTACATGGGTTTTTTCCAATACCCGTGTATTGAGTCGAGTCGGGTACGAGTTTAATAAAAACCACAATACCTGACCGATTACCCCACCCATTTACCTGGTAGTTTTTTTTACATGACCCGTTCTTTTAGCCGGTCCGATTACCCGCACACTCAATAACTATAGACAAATAGTTATACAAAAAATACATGCTAAAAAAAATTGTAAATAAAGTATTTTAAAATTTTCATATATGTTGAAGAATGAAGATGGGTAGATTCATATAAATTGGTACCTAACATTTTGTTACTTTTTCTATTTTATCTAGTCTATACAATATATAAATGCTGCATCTTTATAAGTATGAGTATCACATATAACTATGATCAATTTATAGTTTTTATATAAAAATAATGGCTCTTTTACTCGAAATAGCATATAGATAATAAATAATAATAAACTAGATAATGAGTTTATACGTGTATAGTGTATTCTATATATTTATATCTTTACAAATATTGCAAACTATGAGTAATTAAGTATTATCTATGTAAAATGCTATGTATAAATCTATAATGTTATTTCTTTGGAGTATGATTGGTAATTCATAAAACTACAAAATAGTGTATAATATGCGGAAGAGCTAATACCATGCTTTATAACACATATAAGTTATGCGTTAAATTTAGACAACTATTTCGTTTTTTTTTTTCTTTTGACCAAGTGTTACATATGACCTCGCTATATCATTTCAAATAAATATTATATTGTCAATTTGAATTTAAAAATACATCCTATCACATATTTTTTAATAAAAGCAAATATAATTTCAGACTTATTTTTTATAATCATGTCTTATAATGTATTCATATTTCAATATAATTTCTTTATGTTGGATGAATAGAAAGTAGAACGTAATTATACAGTATAATTTGATTGAAATGTAGGATATGTTGAATTTACCAATTCATTATGCTCATTATTTGTTTCTTTAATTTAGTTATAGGTAGTATTATTTTATGTATCATGATCTCTCTAACTTAAAAACGTGTATATTCCCTTATCTTTAAGATAAGATATCATTAAGAATGTCAAATATTTTGTTAAAATATAATTCTTAAATCAACTAAAAACATAAAAACAATTGTATGAATAGTTTGGTATATAGATTGCGGTTTTTAACATGATCAACATCAACATCAACATACCCAGTATATTCCCAAACATGTTGGAGTCTGGGGGGTCAGTTGTACGCAGATCTTACCCTTGTAATTATACAAGGAGGCTGTTTCCACAGCGACCCAAAGTGCGTTGCGTCGTTTGATATAGTTTTTTCTAGAAATTGAACATAAGTATCTTTTGTTGTTCATTCTTACACAAAAAATTAATTAAATTGTTTACTAAGAAATACACATTTTTTTTACTAACAATTTGTTTTTCACAAATAAAAATATATATGAGTTGCATTTAAAATATTCATCTTCTCTTCCCAATCTCATCTTTCAAAAATTAATAAAAGAATTACAATGTATAGAAAATTAGAATTACAATGGATAGAAAATTAAAAATATAGAACGAGGCATCTAATATTTAATAATTAATTTGATTAGACGAAAATAAACTAAGAAACAATTTTCATAATAACTGAGATTTAATATTAATACACTACTTACCAAATCGACTAGTCCACAAACCCTCGCCAACCCCTTCGCATGCTCGCATTCCCATCTCATCTCGGCATCTCCCCCACCGGCCATCGCTGCCCGTTGCTCTCAGTCACGACCGCAGCTGATTTCCGGCCGCTCCGGACGGCCACGACAACAATTGCTCGAGAAGGCCGCGGCTCCGGAATACACTGTAAGCCACTTTCTTCTTGTAATCTTGTTTGATTTATTCAAGGTAACTGTTGAAGGGCCGAAAAATGGAGGTATTGGTGGTAAGGGCGCAGAGGTAGTGAAATTTGGGGCCGGAAAAAGAGTGAAAATTGTGTGGTCTGTGGAAGGACCGAAAAGGTGAAATCTGTTCCCTGTTGCTCGTCTGGGGGCCTCGCCGCCACGTGCTGCGGGCCGGGGATTCGGGCCTGATGGTGAGGGTGAGGGTGAGGGACTGAGGGTAATCGGGTGAGATTCAAGTAAGCGGGTAAATCGGCTGCAACAATTCGGGTACCCGATTACCATACGGGTACCCAATTACTCAATTGGTAAAACCCAACCTGAACCCAGTGGTGGATTATTGGATAGCGGGCCGGGTACAGTTGCATTTTTAGGAGACGGGTCGGGGGGGTTGGGTACGGGTATGCCAAAACCCGCACCCAGCCCCACCCATTTACATCCCTAACGTCGGTTGATCTTTGCGTTTCTGGTCAATATTTGTTTGGATTAAGGTGTTTTAAGAAAATTATTTAGCTATATGTTAAACTGACGTGAAGACATGAATCTGTTTGGATCTGGATTTTGATAGCTTGTTGATCTGTTTGTTGAGTGTTATTATTTTTCATTTTATCCTGGTGTTGTATATGTTGATCTATCAATCTGTGATCTGTCTGAGTATGGGTAATTGTTAGTTGTTGTTTTGAAGATCACTGATATGGATGTATGAAGGCCTTTATGTTTGATTCACTGTGTGGGATTCATCCTTTGTAAGTTTTAAACTATGTTGTTCTCTATGCATTCATACGCTTATTGATCTGGTTGTTGAGTGTTTGATTGATTTTTTTTTTTTTTTTGTTGTTGCATGTTTTGAGCTAATCCGCCTGTGTGCCCATGGAATATGAGTAGTTCTAAATTCTTGGTTTTAAGATCTCTGATTTGGGTGTAAGGAGACATTTATGTTTGATGCCTGTTGTATGGAACTCTATGCTTTTATTGTATCTTTATGCCTTTTGTATGGAACTCTATGCCTTCTGTAAGGAGGGTCGGGTACGGGTATGCCAAAACTCGCACCCGGCCCGACCCATTTACATTCCTAATTGTGGGAGTGTAGAATGTTCCTACATTGGATTACTAACTTAAAAAATGACTGTTCCACTGATTTGTATAATATAATCTAAACTGGAATGTCTCATGATTTCACATATAATAGAAGGAAATTGGACTAGACGATTAGAACTAATCCTTTCTCTGCATATGCTGTTGTCCTGTTCTGTTGTTTTCTTTTTCTTTTATCTGAGTAGTATCATTTATTATTTGTTGTAAATTTGTTGAAATAAGTTGGAGGTTTTATTCACCTTACATGATTCTTTTAGTGATTTCTAATATTTTGTTTGCTGAATAAATGTCATTCGTTATATGGGAAGAAGATGAATTAAGGTGCAGTGAAACCCTAGCTCATGTAGTTAGTCCTAATGTGTGATGATGGTTGGATATCATCTTAGATTATTTTTTTAACGTCTTGCTGAAGGTGGGTAATTGGTTTTTGGGTTTCTTAGAGCATGCTTGGATATAAATTTGTTTTTGTTTTGATTGAATTTTTTATTTGGGTTGGTTAAATTTGAAAAAGTATGTATGGTTAGTTGTTAGTGGATATAATAAAATAATATTTAAAATAAAATGATTAAAATTAAATTGATGTAAAAGTAAGAGAGAGAAGATATGATGTGATGGTTAGTTAAATTTATGTGAGTAGATGAATAGTGAATTAAGGTTGATGTTGTGTGTAAGAATGATTGAATGATATTATTTAATTATATTGATAATATTGATGATAGTGGGTTGAGTTAAAGTTGAATTAAAAAAAAGTGGTTGAGTTAAAAATGATTGGAATTTTTGGATTGAATTTGTATACAATCATGCTCTTAACATTTTCTGCATAATCTTTTCAAATATGATTCTATAATCACTTCATTATGCTACAAAACGTTTTTGCATGAGAACAGAGTGAATTTTGAAGCAGTTGCAAGCAAACATGAAAGGAGGAAGGAAAAATCTCAAGAGGGCAATTGAGGATGAGATGGAAACTCTTAAAGAAGGCCAAAGCATAATGCAGGTTGTCGATTTGAGGGGCTCTAATCTCATCGAGGTATAAAATTTTTATTAGTCTCAATTTTAATATTCATGTTGGAAAAGATATTTCACTGCTCGTGCTCGACCTTGTGTGTGAAAAGGTAATGGACTCGAAAGGAATGAAATTGATAGCAATATTCCCAGCAAAATTTCAGAAAAGCATGTGGATTAGACGAGGTATGATCAATATTCATGCAAATTTATTTCTCTAGATATATAAACCTCCTTCGTGATTGCAAAAGATATTTTTGATATGCCCCACAGTATTATTCCAACTCTATTCTAACTCTATATTCTGAATTGTTTATATTATTCCAACCTCTGTCGAGTCTTCTTTCTGTTTTTTGGTAATGGAACTTTTTTCAATGTCCTATAAATAGGAAACTTTGTAGTTGTTGATGAAAGTGGGAGAGAGGAGGCAGTCGAATCTGGTAGAAAGGTGGCAGGCATGGTGACACAAGTACTCTACCACGAGCAAG